AATCAGGTGTGTTGGAGCAGAGAAGCAAGTAAAACATGCAGGGCTGCGGCCCTCCAGGACCAGGATTGCCCACCCCTGATAGACGTTAAATCAGTGCTCAGCGCTACCGCTCTATTTACACTAAGCTACCGACAACCAGTCAAAGTGAGCCCAACAGCTACGAGTGAACAAGCGCCCTCAGCTGAAAAAGAAGCAGACAAAGTAWGATAGAAAAGACTAAATTCAGTGGCGTGGACGTGGTTAGGGTTTTGAAGGTTTGATAAACTTCAGCTTTCAGTCTGATGTAAAATGTGCTGATGTGCAGCGGGAACTCATCAAATCTACTCTACCATGTAAAAAAGTTCCACTCCACACAACTTTCTGACTGTATGAAAATGAAAATGCCCTAAAAGTTTAGGCCCTCTACATAAAACATCCATGGCTATTCTAGCAAAAACAGCCGCTTCGTTCAATACTAGATCACTTCCGACAWCCGTCATGGAGCCTCCAAGTGATTAGGTGACCTAGCTGCAAAGGGTCAGTAGCGTTTTTATATTTTTTTAGTATAATACATGTTATTTTTTAAAAATGTATTATTTTTTTTGGAGTAAGGACTCAATCAGTTTGTGGTGACTTCTGAATAAAAGTGAGAGAGAGGGAGAAAAAAAGCATTCATGTTAATTTGAAATTTTCATTTCATTACACAAAAGCAACCTGTTCACTTTATTTTACCAGGCATTACYGTCAGAAGTTAAATAAATATTTCAGAGGGTGTGGCTGTAGCKGAGAGTCATACTTTACTCACAAGTGCTAATAGTTGCGCAATATTTTTACTTTAAGCTTTAGCTTTAACTGTTAGCAAAAATATCTCACTCACCAMTGGATGAGATTAAGCAAAACTTAGAGAAAGTAATCACTGGATGTACATCTACATCTGATTCACTGTGGGAGTCGATACAATTCAAGACGGCTGACACAGCTGATTGACAAGAACCAACACAAAAATTACTAACTCTGTCGTTTTTTAAAAGGTTTTGTGCTCAAATTCAATATGGAAAACGCCGAGTTGTTCAAAACACGTAGTCTGAGCCAGATATTACGCAGGGATAGTGCATGATATAYTCAAGGTTTGACCAAAACAGCTATATTGTTTCTCAATGTAAGCTTGTGCTTAGTTTAAAACACTGATATAAAAGGTGGAGATATGCATTCATTCAAGGAAAGCTAACTTTTTTTGTAGATTGAGAATTTTTTTAAATAACAAAATTGTTATCCTCATTTACAAAATAAAGCAATAATTTAAAGAAATATATAAAAAATACTACAACATGAGAAATTAAATAAAACAAGATAAAAATAATACAAAGAAGCCGATTTAAAATAAATAAAGCCGTTTTACAATGTATTTTGTCTCTAGTTATTTTAATTTGTTGGCATTAAATTGAATATGTTTTGTATTTATGATTCAGCCCTTTTGATAGATTAACAAAACCCGGGTTAAGTTTTCAGTGACTGGTTAAATGTGACTTAAAAACCCACTAAAACCAGTGAAATGTGAAAGTGACACATCCACAGATGGAAGTGACCGGGCGGGTGTTCGCTCAGTGTTAAAGCCGGGTTTCTCACCTCGATGGTGGGATCGTACTCGTCCACGAAGTGGTTCTGGATGAGCTGGATGGTGAGGGCACTCTTCCCCACACCTCCAGCTCCGACGACCACCAGCTTGTATTCGGTCATACCTGCAAACGGGTCGAGGCAACAGGTGAAGCTCGCTGTCACATGCCGTGATTTCGTAATCTCATTGGGGGTGATCATTAACAATCTTCCTCCCCAACAGACATGGCGAAGAGACTAACCCAGATTTATCAACCCGCAGGGACGTTTCTAAACCAGTTAGCTCTTCCTCATCAGTCCCAAATCAACGTGAATTAGTATTTATAGTAAAATATAACAAGCTCTTACCTGTTTGTGGGACTTGTAACACTGAAATGATAGCCGAGTTTCCGACAAATAAATGAGATTAGCTACATAACGTTAGCCTGAGATTATTTCCTTGTTCAAAACATTGGAAAGCGGCAGTATCTGACAACTAGCTTGTCAGACTACAACAACGCGTTTAAACACCAATTTTTTATAACTGCGAGTTTAATACGTTAATCATAAATCTTAAAGCTATATTCAAATTACAATCCAGAGTACGTAAGATTTCCTACTTCTTCTCCATTGTGGTTCATTGCAAGCGAAGCGTTTACGTGTTAATCCCCTCGTGAAACAACCAATGAAATAAAGAAGAAGAAGAAAGACGTTCCAGCCATCCAATCCCAATGGCGAAGATGACGACGACCACGCCCCATTCTAACGCATTCATCCAATCACAGACCGGTACACCTTTAAACTGGGCGGGACTTCCAATACACCCTTCCCTTTCCTCGCAGTACTTTATTTGTAACTTTTGTATTTTTATTTTTTTGCGTAGGGTGAATTAATCATCAAAAACACTCATCCAAATGTGTATTAGCATTTTTTTATTTAAATCTTAAACACCAGTACCTTTTAACTATTTATTTCGAAAGTTTTTGCGCAACATTTACAGTGTTGCCTGTACACTCACTGGTCTCTGGTGGTGAGCTGTGAACATTGCACCACATTTTTACTCGTTTTTTTTTTTTTTTTTTTTTT